CGCGCTCGGGCCTCGCGCGCATCAGACCCGCGGCGGCGCGACGCCCGCAAAGAGAAGCCCCCGACATACTTATGTCAGATGTGTTTCGCCGTTGTCTTAGTTGCGTGCAGGAGCCCAGCCGCGCGCGCGCTTCCAGCTTCCCCGTTTCTGAGTGCCGTCCAGAAGTTTAGCTTGCCAGATGCGCGCTGCCCGTTTCACGTCGCCTCTCGTCCGTTCGCGCAGCTCGCCGTGACCACGCGCGGGGGTGCATCGGCTTCAGCGGGATCGCTCCTGACATCCGCTCACACGCAATTTAGCTTGCGCATCCCGCCTGCTGCTGACGCGATCACACTGCGCATCGCTGGAGGAGGAAAGAGTGCGCGTGTTTCGTGGGCGCCAAAAATGGGGTGCAGTGCTAGCGTGGGCCGACAATCCTTTCCGACCCCCTCTGCCTGACACTCGTCTGGGGGCCGGGTTGAGCCGGCGCCCTCGCCCCGCTTTCCATTGGCCCGCGTTTGCGAGCTGCTTCGCGGCAGGCCCGCCCTCGAGGCATAGCCCTGACCTGGGCCAGCGCGGCCCCGATGCCTCCAGCTTCCCAAGCCTCCGGCAGCGCGATTTGTTTCGTTCGCGGCGTGACTCCCCCGATGCCGATGCGATTGACAAGGCTGCGATCGACAAGGCTGGATGGCGAGCTACTCAGTCTCTCCGGAAAGGGGCGTCGGCACCTCAGCGGCGCCTTCGCGATTTGAATGGGCAATTGGTGGACGGCGCGCACAACGCAGACACGACGGCAGACTATCTCGAACAGGTTCAGTGGCTGCTTCCTGCAGCTGCCTACCCACCCCCACAACTTGAGACGGAAGATGGGGACCTGCGCAGTGATACAGGAGACAAAAACTTGGAATAAATACGAGAAGCAATCAAACATGCTCGCATTCAGCGTGCTTCTGGAATCGATGGGGCCCCACCCGAACCTTGGCAAGTTTTATGACGAGATGAACGTGCCATGGAGATCCTGCGGGAACTATGCGACGCATGCTAGCAGCAAAAGGATGCACCGCGGAGCTGGCGAGAAGCGAGGATTGTTTCACTGTGCAAGTAGGGCGACACATCCCATTCGTCCATCTATAGGCCAATTTCTTTACTGGCAGTGGGCTTTAAAGTATTCGCCAGCATACTCGTACGGAGGTTACGACAGGGGGGCGCTGAAAAACAAGTGCGAGAATCACATTGCGGGCTCAGACCGAAACGCGGCACGAATGACGCGCTCTTCTTGGCGCGACGGTTAATCGACGCTGCAGTGGAGGATAAGGATGGCGCGCTGTTTCTGTTACTTCTAGGAGTGGAGCAAGCATTTGACCAAATTCGCCCAGCAGGGCTCACTCAGACTTTTCAGTTGCCGCCAGCAATACTCCAGATGGTTTAAGGAATCGACAGGGCGCGAACATTTGTTGTCAAACATGGGCAGTCTACGACAACCAGCCGTACGCAAGCACGCAGGAATAGCGCTAAGGTGTCCTTCGTCGCCGCACTTGTTTCTCATTGTTATGTCTGTGCCACTACAGATCGTCGATCAGGAAAAGATTGGACTCGCCGGGGAAAGTGCAGCGAAGCCGTGCGTGGTCACTCCAGACGCGCTGTACGCGGACGACACGATGCTCGTAGCAGACAAACCGGAGTACCATCAGGAGCACTTGATCGTAGTCGCTTGGATTGAGACGACTTTTGTCTGGACCTGAATGTGGGCAAAACTGTACTTCTCTGGACCAGGTTCGAATCGAACATCAAAGGGCCGGACGGCGAATTCATCTCGTGTCAGAGCAGTGCCGTCTATTTGGGCGGGCTCCTCAGCGTCTACGGCCAGCCGCAGAGCGAGTTGAACAAGCGCCTAGGAGAGGCACAAGGAGCATTTGAGAAAATTGTTGACGCTTAGCCGGGTCGGCTGCGTGGAGTTTGGCGCCGCAAGGGCGACTCACTCCGTTGCTCTCGCACCTGTGGCCGCTTGTACACTTTGGTTTACTGGGCGGCGCCTAGGTGCGTCTGCTGGTGAATGCTGAGGATTTTGTTCAGTGCATGTGCAACTGCACGCTTGTTGTGCAATTAGCTTTGCGCCGCCCGCCCCGGACATTGCCTCTCGCCGCCAGACCGTTGTCGCGCGGCCGCCGACCAAAAAAGTATCCCCAACAGCAGGACCACACCCCAGAGCAGGACCACACCCCCAGAGCAGCAGCCTGTCTCCCGGGCTCGTGCTTCGTTGCTAGCCGGGTTAGCTGCTTGCTTGGAGTTTGGCGCCGCAAGGGCGACTCACTCCGTTGCACTCGCACCCGTGGCCGCTTGTACACTTTGGTATACTGGGCGGCGCCTAGGTGCGTCTGCTGGTGAGTGCTGAGCATCTGTTCAGTGCGTGTGCATCTGCACGCTTGTTGTGCAATTCGCTTTGTGCCGCCTGCCCCGGACATTGCCTCTCGCCGCCAGACCGTTGTCGCGCGGCCGCCGACCAAGAAAGTATTCCCACCAGTTTGCTAGGTAATTTAGGCCCTCGCGCGGCCCGCTCGGACCTTGACACGCCGTCGGCGCGCTCGCCTGCGGTTGGCAACGAAAAAGTATCCCCGCCAGCCCATCCAGAAACGATCAACAGGGGAGTCGGTGAATCAGGGGCGACAGGACGCATGCAGTTGCGCAGTCTTCTTCGGGAAAACAAGGATCACAAAGAGCTTCCCGCATTGAAGCTTAAGATGGAAATCGGTGCAAGCTACGATGGTGCTTCGATAAGGGGTGAGGGGTGTTTCGATGAGTCGTAATGGTTGTTGCACTGCTGTGTGCTTTAATCTCGCGTGCGTTTCGAAACTTGGAGCCATCTTGGGGCTCTCTCGGGGTTCTCTTGGGGTTCTGTTGGGGCCCTCTTGGGGCCCTCCTGGAGCTCTTTCTTGGGGCTCTCCTGGGGTCCTGTTAGGGCCTTCTTGGAACCCTCTTGGGGCTCTTTTGGGGCGTCTTTGGGCCCTCTTGGGGCTCTTTTGGGGGGTCTGGGGGCCTTCTTGGGCCTTTTTCTGGGGTGCCTGAGGAGCCTCTTGGAGCCGTCTCGGGCCCTTGCGCTAGAAAAGATGAGGGGGGTTCTAATTCCCATCGCCCCATCGGAGGTTCAAAAATGCCGTCTTGGGGCCCTTTTGGGCCGCTCTTGAAGCGTTCTTGGGCGCTTTGGGGGCCGTCTTGGGGCCCTCTTGGGCCCCTCGTGGGACTATCTTGGGCCGTATTGGGGCCATTTTGAGGCCTCAAGAGCCCATCGGAGGCGAAAAAGCGAGAAGCAAAAAACATTGATTTCCTTAGGTTTTGGAAGGATGTTGGCCTCTTGGGGGGACCTCGGAGGCTTCGGACAGCACTTGAAACCGTCTTGGGGCCGTCTTAAGACCTCTTGGACACGTGTCGGAGACTATCTTGAGCCATCTACCGCTATCTTGGGCTATCTTAGAGACCATCTTGCGCTCTCGGAGGCCCTTTTGGAGCCATCTTGGGCCATCTTGGACGCTGCTATGGGTCGCCCCCCCCCCCCCGTCCAAACGCATGGAGGGGGGGGAGGTAAACCTCCCGAACAGGGAAAGGCAGGAGGTTGGAAAAGGAAACGCCCTGGACAACCTGCGCCCAGAGGGCTGGTGGGATTTGCTCTGTGTGGGACCATGCAAATTGAAGCAAGCAGCGCAAGATTAAGGTTTTGGAGACGTACGTCGTTTCCAAATTGCTCTATGGCCTCGCATCGCGTATGTTGCTGCAAGCAAACCGGGCGAAGCTAGATGTGTTCCAAGCGCGGCGCCTCAGGGAAATAGTCAAGATCGTCCCTGCATATGTTTCTCGCGTCAGCAACGCTAGCGTTTTAGATTGCGCAGGTGCGCAGAGACTGTCCGACTTGTTGCTGCGACGCCAACAGCCCTCTTACGGCTGGCTCGCCCGTGAACCCGCGAGCAGCTTGCCAAGACGCATGCTTGTTGCAGCTGATGCCCATAATCGTCTGCAAGCCACGTCTGCAATGGAAACATTACGTGCCTTCCCGAGCCTTGGAAGTTTCGGGTAGGAACCCCAACAGGCTCCAGGAGTTCCTAGGGAACGAAGTGCGATGGCGCGCCGCTGCCACAAGACAGTGCAAGTGGAAGTGATTTGGATATTTCCTCCTCTCCTTCCTTCCCTCCATCCTCCCTCTCTCCTTCCCCTCTCTCTCCGCGGATTGCCGGCAGGTTAACGCATCGCCTCCCATTCGGCACAAAGCTTACCAACAGTCTGCAACCGAGCCGCTTGCGGCGCTATCCATCATCTCAGCTATTTCTGCATGTGCCTAGATGCGCCGTCACCTGTCGCAGTTGTCTTGCTAATGCGCTGTCTGGGCGCGGTTTTTGTTTGTCTGTCTGTGTGTGTGACTCTCTCGAGGCCTGGACCGCTCCCCCCAGACTGGCTTCCCATCGCGACTCGTTTTGTTGATGGTCCGTGATGGTCCGATGGCCCGGCGAGGGCCCCCGGATGTCGGATCTGTCCCAGCACCACCCACTGTGATTTGTTCACGACGCGAGGAGGCGGCTTGGGCTCCTGGATCGGCTGCTCGTAAAAGAGGGCCCCTCGCTAGAGCGACCTGTGGTTGCGGGCCCACACGGTCTCCCCAGTATTGGCTTGCGCGCTTGGATTTGGCCCCCAGGTGGCCGTCTGAAGCCTCGCACCAAAGGTCACTCCTGCTTAGGGTCACTCTTGCGTGTAGCCGACTCCAGAGGACTCCACGACAGCATCAAGAGGGTTCCAAGATGAGCCCATGGGGGTGTCCCCCTGGACCCCCGCAGGGGGACAGCCCGATGGGCTCCTTTTGGAGCCCCAAGGGGGCCACGAGAGACCCAAAAGGGCCCCAAAGGTTTCATATACTGCTCAAAGGAGGCCTAATAATACCCTCCAGACGTTGGGCTCTCAAACAAGCAGTGGGCTGGGCGGGGCGCACGGGAGCGGGCGGGATGACTGTCCGGCGGAGACACAGCTGGAGAGGGCGGGGCCAG